CTATATATCTTTTGAATTGAAAAAACAAAAATATACACATGGTGTGTCCAAAACAAAACCCCTATTTCAATTTATTTAATTAAAACATATAGAAATGTCCAAACTGGAACGTCTTAATTGCTAAGATAGAATTGATGACACGAAATCAAGAAAAAAAAACAATATCATATATTATGTCACCATATATCTGTGTATACATAATATATAATGTCATTTTCTGCAACATATATAAATATATATATATTATCATATTAAAGTAACGAACAACCTATTTGTTCAACTGAAGAAGAAAACTGAAACCTACTTCTGTCACTTTTCTATTTCAAACCAAATAACAACACTTGGCATCCACAAATAATTAACTACGTTAAAGTATAAAAACTCATTTTCTTCTCCTTTTAATGTCATGATGACAGTCTATCTAACCAGAAATAATAAACACATTATCTGTTTCAAAACCTTTATAGTACAAGACCACAAGAAACAATATACACTAGATCAATTTGCCAAGTAAGCACTAAATTTTTATTTTTTAAAGAATTCAGACATATTTGACAAAATCGTGTAGGAAGGAAGCCGTGGAAATGCTTTTTATTTGATAAAATCATTTGAACATAAACTTGTTTGACTTGTGGCATAATTATATTTCCATTCATCGATCAATTAATCATATTTCAATTTCATACTAATCTAGATTGACTATATAAATTATATTTGTATTCATTTTTATTTTCAAATTGGCCTGGGGAAAGGAAAATGATAAACAGAAGAGATTTAATTTGAATCCTCAACAATAAATGGAAAGTTTACTAATCAATCAACTGAATTTCTAAATAGCCACAATCATCTCCCAGTAAAGTAATGCTATGATTTTTTCGTCTTTTCAAAAAAACAAAGTTTTAGAGAAGAAGGTATATACATGAATTAAGCAACCAGTCACACATAAAATGCCGCTTTTTTGCTAAATCAAAATCTGTTGTCCGTCAACTGTATCGATCTTCTTCATTCCGATTCCATCGCCGGTGAAAAGACAGCTCTAAACATGGCCAAAATGACATCACTGAAGCAATCAAACAAGCCAAAACACTTCTCCTTCATTTTCTCAGAGAAACATTGATCAGCCTCCGCTACCGCTGTGGGCTGAAGATATGCCCATGCCGCGTGCTGTAATAGCGGGTCCTTCATCGGAATTTCTCGCCAGCTGTCTTTACGGCCATTTGTCGGAGACAAAATCGACGGTGGTGAGCCAGGCAAGAGATCCTTCAAGCTGGTATAGGTTAGGGATTCCATAGTCACCATTTCTACGTCACAAAACTCGAATTGGAGAATGCCTCTTTGTATAGGATCATACATGTACTTAATTAAAGTACCTTCCATATTATCAACAGATTATGTTTTCCATATAAAACACAATTCTAATTAGGAAAAATATTTAGATGTGCTTTTAATTAGATGAGTGTGTGTGTATCCATTCGTTTTTTTTTTTATTTTGGTGTGTAGAGAGAATTTTTTTATGGGTATGTAGAGTTGCTTTATATAAAAAAAAAAATTAAATGAAAGTCCACACTAGAATATTCTAAATTTTTAAGTAACACTTTTATTTATTCATGCTCTTGGCATCATCAAAACATTTCTTTATAAATTATTATTATTATTATTATTATTATTATTATTATTATTATTATTATTATTATTATTATTATTATTATTATTATTATTATTATTATTATTATTATTATTATTATTATTATTATTATTATTATTATTATTATTATTATTATTATTATTATTATTATTATTATTATTATTATTATTATTATTATTATTATTATTATTATTATTATTATTATTATTATTATTATTATTATTATTATTATTATTATTATTATTATTATTATTATTATTATTATTATTATTATTATTATTATTATTATTATTATTATTATTATTATTATTATTATTATTATTATTATTATTATTATTATTATTATTATTATTATTATTATTATTATTATTATTATTATTATTATTATTATTATTATTATTATTATTATTATTATTATTATTATTATTATTATTATTATTATTATTATTATTATTATTATTATTATTATTATTATTATTATTATTATTATTATTATTATTATTATTATTATTATTATTATTATTATTATTATTATTATTATTATTATTATTATTATTATTATTATTATTATTATTATTATTATTATTATTATTATTATTATTATTTGGGGTGAACGCGGATAATAATAATGAAGTTTACAATTAATAATGAATATTAGTTAGTTTAAAGATTATTTTTATTTTATATTAAAAAAGAAGATAACAAAACCTTAAGAATATCCTTATTTATTCCATTCTACCAATCAAACAATTTATAAGATAAACTCAATGTATTTAAATTTTCAAACAAAATATGTTTTTTTGAATTTGAACTTGTACTTTTATTACTTTTACGGTTAAAAGTCAAGATCATATTTTAAAAGAAATTTATTGAATATTAAAATTTGATTAAATTTAAATTTTAATTAAAAAAATCATAATCACAATTAATCATTTTTTTTGCTAAAAGATATAGCGGCTTTTACTTATTAAATTTTTTAAAATAACAAGAAACGAGTATGGAACGAGTAAAGGGATTGAGGTAGCATAGTGTTTTAGGTGACATGGGGCCTACCGTACAATGTGAAAGGGTAAATTTAAAGAGGACAGGTGGTGACTGACCAATGGAGTAAATTCTTGTCTTTTTTGGCCAATTATGCCACATCAGCTCTTGTTGGTTCACAAATTTAGACCACTTTAATGAAGTAAATGAGTAATTTTTTAAGTTAATAATTTAATCTATTTATTATTACTATAAAAGTTACAGGTGTGAATAACCAATTAAGAAAATAGATAAATGAGTTGAGCAGGGGTCGTCTCATTAATTTAATTATTTAAATTAGTCGCTCATTTTAGGAAGGGAGTTTAACTCAATAAAATTAGTTATTTAAAATTAAAATTACAATAAAAGACTTTAAATAATTACACATATACATAAAAATAATATTAATTTAAAATTGTCTTTTTTATTCTTATATATGAGTTGTTCTTAATTAGTGTTATTAAATGACCGAAAACATTAGTAATATTATTTATAAAAATAAAGATTATTCTAATTAATAAAAGGTTAGTCGCTTGTTTCCACTACTAACCTTGGATGTTGTTATAAAAAAAATTATATATTGATATAAATATTTGGGTTGTTTAATTTAAAGTTGTAAAAGATTTATGATAAAAAGTTGATGCTACTTTTTAAAAATAATAAAAATAATAAAAAAATAAAATAAAATATATATATATATATAATGTTCAATATTATTACAAGAGATTAAAATCTTTGAATTCACTTTAAATTATTTTTGGGCCTCAATATTTTGGAGGCCTAAAACAAAACGTTTTACTAGACTCATCAATGAGCTACCTTTAATAATAAAGTAAGGATTCGAATACGCACTAACAAGATGAAAGTCCAAGTAGATAACCAACTAAACTACTAAGAATCTCAAGACTCTTCCTATCTTAAACTATCATTTTATGGGTTCAATACAAAATAAATTATTTCGATATCATTTTATCCTTAATAGTTGTTCTTAGAGGGTGCAAACACCTCAATAGAAAATAAAAATAATGACGAGAGATTGTATATCAAAATATTAATATAGGTAAAATATTGAAAAATCCCTCTCAATTAACGTTTTCATAAAGGGCATGTAATAGAGAAATACGGAAGATAATTAAGACAAAGGAAATAGTATTTATGATTCTTTATTTAGTTTATTAATAAATTCTAATTTTAGTTTGTTGTCTTTATTGGTGAATATTCATAAATTTATCGTAATTATTAATTATTTCATCACATAGTTATTTCTCTGTTATGTTTAATACTTCCTCTGTCCCTAATTACTTGTCTACTTTTGAATTGACACACTTATTAAAAAAATAATTAATGACATAATGAGTTTACCATTTTACCCCTATTAATTATGAAGTGGATGAAAAGTTTTACATTTTTCAAAATAGTTAGTCATTTAATTGAGGGTATAATAGGTAAAAAGAACTTGTCCTTTCTTGATTTTTTTAAATTGACAAGTAATTAGGAACAACTATAAAAGGAAAAGTGGACAAGTAATTAGGGACAGAGAGAGTATAAACTACAAATTTGAGAATAATATAGTTCTATAAATTGTCAAATATAATATATTTCCACATAAAGAAATCAAAATACATATTTAAATAATTAAAATTTAAATGTGCTAAATTCATATACTACAGGGATTCAAAATAAAATTTACTAGTAATATTTTAAGGAACAAAAGTGCAATTATACCTTTTGAGAATATAATGTACCAATTTTTGAGAACATGATTTGTATAATAAAAACCAGTCCTACAAAGTGAAGTATGAAAATGATAGAGTAAATATAGATTTTATTTTTACCTCAAAAATAAAAATGATATTTTCAATATATCCTCGACTCAAAAGATATTAAAGCAAATCAAAATTAAAATTAGATGTATAACTGAAAGAATCAACTATTTGAGTAATGCATTTCCAGTATTTTGATCTTATGCATTTCCTTTTAACTAAAGATTGAATCATAATTTCCTAACTTATGGTTTTAAATTCGAACCTTCCAAATAAAATTGCCTATGAGTGACAAATGAATTTTCGATGCAAATAAAATTAATCAAACTTTAAAATAAGAATCAAGCACTTCTCTTATTAATAAATTAAACATTTAGTGCTTATGCTTTTTCTCTCTGAGCTAGACTCTATCAAGAAGTATGGATCTCATCTCCTCATTGAGTCAAGCAATCAAAATCAAACAAGAAAAACATATTTGAACAATTTTAAACCAAAACAAGATTGTTTTGAGTGGTGTAGTAAGTTGATAAAGCCCTTGTACCCTGTTTTACGTTTAGACTAGGGGTAAACACTAAACAGAGGAAGATCTGTTGTGATTATAAGCTTGAGTCAAGTGCTATAGATTGTAAAGTCCATTCTTCCTCACAATCTTACATGATATTTATAACCTAAGGTGACATTTTGTCAATTAATTAAAGAAACACAAATGTCACTTCATCCCTCCAAATCGAGTTCAACAGTCGTAGAACAAGCAATACACTTGTATGTTGCTCCCTAGCTGTGTTGGTCCTTGGAGCTTTTGATGATGACAGCAGAACGAAAGATGTAAACATACAATGAGTATACACAGCAAGATTGGAGCATCCATAGCCTGTATTATAGGTTTCCTTCCTCAGCTCCATGTTAGGGCATACATATATCCAATCCAGGTCAAGGATTCACACTACTTGGTCTTCTCTAGTAAAGATGGCATAGACAGACCAATCAATCAGAAAAAACAAAAAAGTGAGTAAGCCAGCCTTCTCCACAAAGAGGGGCTTATGACAATCTCAGACTAAAACAAATACTAACTAGACTGCAATAAGGGTTCATTACTTTAAGGTGGTTAAATATATTTGGATACAATGGGTAGACATAGTACCTTTTTTCAGTCAAGATAAACTTTGATGTCGATACCATTATCAATGAGGGACTGAACAACTGCTCTAATTTTCCCTTCGAATTTGTCCCTATCTCTAGGTGTATAAGAAGCAGTGTATACATCAGCTTCTCTTGCCCTGTCGGACAAAATCTGACCAACAGACAAGCATGCAGGAATATCACTTCGTGATTTGAGCACTGCCTTGATATCTTTGGAGTTTGTACCAGCTACTGCAACCTGTTTGCATGTAACTCTATGGGTGATTGAGGCTGAAACAAAGCGCTTTGATATGAAAACATCAAGTGTGAACGGTTCCATGTATGCTACAGTCCGTTGCTTGAAAGAAACATGCTTGTTTGGGTTCTTAGATTTTTTCCCCTTCTGATAAGTGTATGGACGGCTATTGTCATCATCAACGAAATCTTCCACCCCAAAAAAGCTTCTAGGTGCTAAACCAGGCTGCCAAACAAAGCAACAAACTTATTCAAGGGGCACTATCTCAAAAATATCTGGGTCCATGTCTATAATAAGCTATAAATCCAAGTACAGATTAAGTTTGATTGTTCGTCACACATATGTCAAGCGCAATGCCTATAAAACATAAATGCAGGTAATTATGTGTGGACAGTGTGGAACCACATAATTTCACAGATGAAGTGGAACTTGTATATCTTTTAACACTTGCTAATGAATAACATTTTATCAGTACAGCAGTGCTGCAAGACAAAAGCAAAGCAATCACTTTACAATGTACATACACATCATGTGCTAGCACACCGAAGCATCACACTGTGATACTTGAATGCTGTTTTTTCTCCTTCTTCCATTCCTCCTACTCCTAAAAAATGCATGGAATAAAGGGGAACAATGTTTGCTATTACAACAAGCCCATACATTCAAAAAAAAGGAGGAAGGCCACATTCCTAATAAAAGCACAACCGCACAACTGTAGCAACGAAACCACAAGTATACAAGCATGTAAGCAGGGTTGATATCAGTGCTACAGATATGGAATCAACAGCATTTTGCTTCTCTCTCTTTCTCAAAAGTCATTCCTTATCATTCTTTTCCCGGATGAAAGAGTCATTCCTTATTTTTTAAGTAAAGGACAGGAATCACTTCGGGCTCCATTCTGAGCCAGAAGGGATTCAGAACTTTAATGTATTTGGTTTGTTTTATAGATTTGGTGAATATCAAATCTAAAAGCTTAAAGGATTTGTTCTTCGATTCTACAATCTCTTCCCTCAACACAATGTAAACTCAGTGGCGGATCCAAGATTTTAATGTTGTGGGTGCTCCATTAGCTATCAATCACAAAATATAAGTGTACAAATTTAACATTTTTCATAAGAAAGATAATCATATTTAAATATGATAGCGAATAAAAACCAATAAAAATTATATTTTGGACTTAAAAAAAAAAAGGAAGATGACAAAGTTTTTTCTATAAAATTTTGTTTAATGAAAATTAGCAAAAGACAGTTTGTGAAAGGAAAAAAAACAATCAACATTAGGGAGAAAAATAAATAAAATAAACAATTCAGCAAAATAAATTAAGAGAAAGAAGAGTTGGATTTTAAACCAAAAGTAATGTTCCTAAGGGGAATCGATCAGTGGCTGACAACCAAGAAACAACCTTGAGCACACACTTATAACCATCTTACCAACCAAACCATTTGTTTCATGGGTGCTCACCTTTAACTTTTATACGATTTTTCTTAATTTCAACATAAATATATATAGTTCGATACGAAATTAATGGGTGCTCGAGCACCCGAAAAGTACCATGTGGGTCCGCCCCTGTGTAAACTTATCTTTTTCCTGAAGCTGCAGGCACATGTCTGCTTCATATATTATACAAAAGCGAAGGTGAAAAGGTAACAGCAGCACACTAAAGATACATAAGGTCAGCACTTTTTAATAGAGCTAGTTTCTATAAATCCCAAATTCATCTATTCATCTTGCCTGTACATCAATTCCCAACAACCTTGTATAATATCACACACAGTTAGCACAAAATGTGTAATTTCTTCTTTATTGGCTTGTTTTGTCAACTAAGCAATCACATATATACATAATACAAGTATCTTTCAATATAAGCATTCTCACAACAGAGGAAAAACCAACTGATTCCTCAACTAGGTGAAATCAACAATAAAGAGTTTATTCCAACAAAATGGTGATTGCTTCAAAATGCTTTATGTCCAAGGTATGATTATTCCGCTAGATTATAATATGCATTGCAACATATTCTTTACAATTTAGAAACCGCCAACATTCTCAAGAACCTACCGTTTGCAGCTTCACCTTTTCACAGTTACATGATTCTATCATCACAGAGTACCTTCCCAGTTACTTGATGCTATGTAGAACAGCTTTTCATTTAGATATGTCTTAATGAAGATCTAAATACTGCTCGATCATATCGCTTTTGCCTTGAAGTGAGATCTTCACAACAATTATTCCACTTTTACATAGTCCAACAATTTCTCAAACACATCTGTACATGACTCTAATATTAGAAGTCTAAACTATTCAAATTTATTTAATCTCTAATTATATGCAATTGGCAAAACTAGATAATTAAACTTGGGATGGAAGGAGAAACAATGTCAGTGAACGTAGATTTGTTAAGAGTCTAGACTCTCTAGAGAACAATTAACTCTTGACTAACTCGATCATTTATCTCAATATGAAAATTGATACTCTGAAAAGATAGAGTTCATTCCAACAAGCTTTGTATGGAAACAAGAAGATTATACTGATTCCCAAGTAATTTGTGGCATTCCTACCGTAATATTCACCAGTCAGTCTTACCAGAGTGTCATATGTATGGAAGTTAATGAGCACTCTTCTGCATTTGTTTTACATAAAGACCGTCTTAGATAAACACACCACTGGATAAAACAAACAAAAAACCTCAGAAGTAACAAGTGGTTTAACTTAGATTTAAATAGCCATGTCCTATTGGAAAACCATTCAAGTCAACAAGACAGAAGCAAGAACATTCGCTCTCTTTCCTGCCAAAGTTATGTACACACATATGAAAATAGAAAGGCTGCATGAAGTAGTAGCATTGACACAAATCATTTTACCTTTGAAGTATGAAAGCCACTAATTTGCGCACATAGAAAAGGCCTCATCTTCTGACCTCCTCGAACGCACAACATTTCAGAAACTAGTTTCAGCATACTCTGACCTTTAATCAATTAGACAGAGTATTAGTTCTAGTACAATACCACAAAAAAAAATAAGTTGGGTTCCAGAATGCAACACACAAATAGAACATACTCCCTCCATACCAAATACACTCTTGCATGCAACAAATTCCATTAAGAGTGTTTTTCCATCCACAAATTTCAAGATAAAACCCAAATCGACTAACAATGCAAATTTAAGTTGGGTTGTGAATCAAGCAAAGTTGGGTTGTGATTGATTAGTATTTGAACTTAAAATTTCAATTTCATAATTTTCAATCAAACAAACTAGGTTTTTTAATCAGTAATTAATGAAAATTTCAATGTTATTAGGGTCTTACAGGCAATCCAATACTCATTGTCTGCCCACCTAAAGCCTACCAATAGTTCTCCATCCATATTTACAACAGAACACATCTTAAGTGAGCTTCCAAGAATTAGAACGCATTTCTATCAAGAAAACTCGTGGCCCATTATTTTATTTGTGGTCTTCATCACATCTTAATAGAAAAATTCTACTTTTTAAATTAAAAAAAAAGAGTTGGTATTCAGTGAGGCATTTCCTCAAACAACAAGTAGATGTCATCAATCAACTCTTTCATTAACTCTAAGACTAAAATATATGCATCAAAATGATAAAGAATTGAAGATAACACCTGCGGAAGTTTTGATAGAGTAAATTGCAGAGAAAAGAGAACATTTATCACCTTTCACCGCAAAGTCGCCGGTTTCTCTTACTCCGGTTTCATCCTTGAATATCAAATTGTATTTTTTATATTTTTTTTAGAATGGGATTAAAGTAGCTTAAAATTTAAAATATTTTTCAAAATAATTTATTTTTAAAAAAAATAAAAAATTGATAGAGGTAGGGAGGCTGGTTTGGAGATAGCCGTAAAAAAAAAATTGAAATTTAAAAATAAGAAAATTTAATTTATTTATTTTTTGGATGGAGTAGATAGGAGTTCGAAATCTAAATAAGCCACAAAAAGATAAAAGTGATCAAAATAAGTTAATATTCTAGTAAGTAACTAAAATAGACTTAGTGGAAGAAAAAAAATTTGTTTTATGCAATATTCCAAACGTTTTTCGTTCGTCTCATAACGTGTATATTTTAATATATAACGAAACTATTTTTTACACCTTGTAAAACGAAACTATTTCTTTACACTTTGTAAAGTGTAAGTTTTTCTTACACTTTATAAGGTGAAAGAAAAAATTATGTTTTACAAGGAGGAATATTTTTCACGATTTGCATTAAACTGTTTCTCTTTATGAAGCTTTTGCAGTGTTTGTCATACAATTATACTGATTTGACATATCATAAAACGAAAAAATTATTACATTATGTATTTTTATTTTTTATTCTGAAAACTCCTCCAAGATATACAATTTATGATATGTCATAATATTTTGATAATGAGTCATGTTAGGAAAATCAGTAGATTGAGTTATCGGAAATCCATCAACACTATTACAATTTTCTAATAGGGGATGGACATCGACCGATAAAGGAGAACGTTGTTGACTAGTCTTAGTCTCATTCCTAACATAGATTTCAAGTATTGTTAACTTGATTTGATTTATATAGTCATTTGGAATCCTCAAAAAGTCGGTCAACGATTCGTCATTATAGATAATCCAGTCTCTCAAATTTACTTATCCTTGGGATAAATGTAACACCCCGACTTTTCCAAAACGTCTAAATTAACTCGTACCTTTGTGGAAAGACAAAAAGGGTGAGTAATAAATTAAAAAGGATGTGGTATGTCATATTTTAAGTGTTCAAAGGTTTTATCTCAAGTTTTGAAGTTAAGTAAGTGGCAAAATAAAAGTTGGCGAAAGTTATCATAAGTTCCTTTTTAAAGATTCCTTTGAAATTTGGGTCAAATGTATTGGATGTTTTCTCCCAATATATAAAGAGTTAGAAGGCCTATTACCCATTAAATCGAAGGCCTACGAGTCTAGTTTGCAGCGCACAAAACCCTGTATCAAACCGACATCAGAATAAAAAGTTATGAGGGTTTTATAGGGACTGGCGGGGCAGAACCCGGGTCGGGTAAAAAATATGGTATGTCGGCTTATTTAACGTTTTAAGCCATGAAAACATTTCATTTTACTTCCAAACCAGAAATAAAGCTTAAGAGAAGGTTCCTATGGAGTACTTTCATGATGAG